ATAAAAAAAACAGGGAGCGCTGGCCCTGCAGCCCACACATCAGACCAGCCCACCAGGAAATTTCCAGACCCTCCCGCAGCCACGTTGGACCTGAGTTTAATTCGCTCGTGACAAATTCCTTCATTTCTCACCATTTCATTCATGGCATCAACGGAGGAGGATGAGATCACTGCCTCTTGGCAAAAAACAAAACAAATAAAAAGGCCAGATCAGAGATGAAGAAGGGGAATTTAATACATTTTGTTACGATTTGGTGTCGTAACAAAACAGTCCGTCGCTGGGCAGTTTATTGTGCAACACTGCGTATGCATATGCGGTCATAAAAATTGAGCTTTGCACGGACATGCCCTGGAGGGTACGCTCCTACCTCTGCGTACGTACGTGCGTATCTCAACATATGGACGTATGCGGGAGTATACTGGGGGCTTAATCATGCTAACGGGGCTAACACAACGTCCAAATGTCTGTGGTGAAACTCACCCAACAAGTCGTGCTATCGGCTATTAGCTTCTCAATGACGTCGGAAATGACGGCTTGTGACTCAGGTAACATTACGTCGGAAAAATATCTCCGACTGCGGATGATGTAGCGAGGCTCAATGTAGTCCAAAAATTTTCAGAATCTGACATCATCACCAACAAAAAATAAAACTTCCACACCGCCGACATTTTGAATTTTCCTCTCCTCCGTGAGATCGGGTAGGCGCACATGACATCATTGCGTTGCGCTGCCGCTGTGACGTCATCATGTTGTGCTGCCGCTGCAGGCAAAAACAGCGCCTTTTATATCGGCGAGTTATTTTAATGGAATAGCCGATGTCCGATATTGAAAATTAACGCTAATATCGGCCGATACCGATACCATGCTAATAATATTGTGCATCGCAAATATATATATATGATGCAAATTTCCACCTTCAAATTGTGCCTAAATCAAACAGAAGCAACAGTCAGCGTTTACTTAACCATAATCATAGCCTCTAAGCTTCCACAATGTGATAGATGATTAAGGAACAAATTACACTAAAATGGTAATCAGTAGTTCTGCAAGACATCCCAACAGCTCCTAAAGAAATGAAAAAGCATCCTCTCTGCATCAGCAAGGACCTTTTTTTTGTGCACACACGTTGCTTTCTTCCAGCATTCTTGCTGACTTTTCTTTCTTTTATGCTCCCCTTCATCTCATTTACAGATGGTTTTGATGACATTATGCTTATATGACGTCAAGTTGAATCTCTGCCAACTTTTCTTCGGAATTAATAATTTTCAATAGGTTTGTGACTTATAGTGTGACGAATGGCATCCTTCCATCAGTGCAGCGGTGAATCCAGGTTGAGTCCCTTTGTCTCTTCGTGGTATTGATTTGTTTCTGTTTCTTGATTAACTCCAATCGATCATCAGGCTTTTTTGGTTCACTTTCCAAATTGCTAGTCTTTTCAAATTCATTTTACTCCTTATTCACTTCCTTTTATTTCTCATTTCTCCCCATCTCACATTTAACAGAGTTGATATAGTCCCTCCTGTCCTCTCATCTTTTACTTTCACATCATCTTTTTCCCTTCTGAACTGCCATCTTCTACTCCTTAATTCTACCCTTTTCTGTACCTCCCACTCCCTTTCTCCTCCTATCATTCTCCTGAGCTGAACTGCATATTTCCAGTAACACTTATGCCTCCACTAAGCACCACATCCTTTTTTTAACTGAGCTGTTAACAACAGGATCTATTAACATGACTCAGTTTTATGCTCCGCACTCATCTGTCAGCATATGCACACGTATGTTTCCTCTTTGGCTCGGTTTTTGCACTTTTTTGTTTATTCTTGACATTTTTTTTTTGCCTTGATAAGATATTTAATTGTATAAATGTATTAATACTTTGACAATATTGTTAAGTATTGTGCTCTATTCACTCTTTTCTGCTCCATTAACCCCTTTTCTCATACATTTGTCATTTTTCCAAAAGTAGCTATTATACTTGTTTTTCTTTGTTTACTTGTATATATATATATATATATATATATATATATATATATATACACACATATATGTGTGTGTGTGTGTCCACTAATATTTCTAATAATTCAACAATTTTCTTGTGTCTATTCTATTAGTTTTGTTCTCCTCCTTGTTTCTTGGCTAAAGTATTTGCTGCCATCTGCACCTTTTATTAGTTACGTCACAATATTTTCTTGATTTCCCTCGTTCGGTGGCAGTTCCTTACCAATTCTGCAGACAATTTTTTTATTTGCTTTATATTTTGGTTAACATTGATCTTTCTGCTTCATAGCTCTTAAGTTTAAGCTTTTTTTTAAAAACTCCCCTTGTCATCCATCTAACTCCTTCCTGCTCTTTGCATTGGGGTCCTCACCTTGCTACCAACTATGACAACATTCAATTCTTTCACTGTGTGTATACTTTCTGCTCATTTTTCCAAGGAGGGGGATAGTTTTCCAGGTACTTAATTGTAATTTATGTCGTAAATTCCAGTGTGATGAGTGGGAAACCACAAGGAGGTTTTGTTTAAATCCAAAATGTCTCCAGAAAAGTATTTATGGTTTCCCCGTTTGTCCTTTAAGATGTGAGTGTAGTTGTAGGGGACTTCTACTAATGTTCTTTATAAACAGTTTTCTCCAGCTCATTTTTGTGGTCAACATGAGTTCCCCAAAGTGGGGTGGGAATAGAGCGGCCCAGAGGTAGAAAATTAAGAGCACAGTGCAGGTAAAAGCATGGTTTTCATAAGGGAGAAAAGTATATGAAAAAAGTATAAGATACTGTTTGCATCGGAAGAAACAAAGGAAGTGCATAAAAAACATTAAAAAATCCACTTTTGCAGCAATGAGCTCAACAATGTTTCTCCAGACGTATATCCTCTTACAAGCTCTTTTTTGTTTGTGCTGTTGTTTATACGATGCAGTGTTTAGGCACAGAATCCAGTGCATTCCAGTAGCATTAAACGCCTTCTCCATCAAGCTTCTTATACAAAGCCGTGGCCAAACTTTGTCATTGTAGCTTGCACATGATCTATCCTGTTGCTCTTAATTCACAATCTGTGTGCACAGAGACAGCCCTTGTGTGCACATGTGGGAATCTGTTCTCCATGTGGATTATTGATTTGATATGTTAAACAGTCATTGATGGATGAATGTGGTTCACTTGGTGCATAATTTGTCTGTGAGCAAATGTGCGACTGTTTGCATGTTTGAGTTTGGAGCATTAATTCACAAACAGATTACAGTGTCTTGGTTGTATTAAGATGTAGTAATGTTTTGATTTCTCTTTTTTTGTTTCTCTTGCTTTATATTTTTTCCCTTACCGGCCCCCCACCCTACACACACACGCTACCCCTTGCAGTTGTGTACATTATTCGTGTGAAGCCATTGACTGCCAGGAACCGTTAATCCGCAATGCAGAGCTAAAGTGCAGTAGCCCTGGCCGCCACTTCTACAATGGAGACCGCTGCACCATCTTTTGCAACTCTGGATATGCCCTGCAAGTCCACCAGGATGATGACATCATCAAGAGCCAGGTGAACACACAAACAAGCTTCTACACACATCCACCTAAAGGCAGCACAAAACCTCAAAGAAGCACAAAAACGCATAAATGTATGCTAGTAAACTTTTTTAAAAGCATTTTTTCCAGCAGGTGGAACATGTATGCAAACATGATTTTTTTTTATTTTTTTAATGCACACATAAACATGCACTGTTGCAAAAAGAAACATACAAATGGCCAAAAGGTGAAACACGCTTGAACTCTTGCTTCCCTCCTCTTTTCTACTCTTTTTTTTTTTTTTTTTGGTCACCAAAACCCAACTAGGTTTAGCAAGGCTAGCCTCCTGGAAGAATGACATCATAGGAATCCATAGAGATCGCTAGCTTGCTACACATTTACAATCACAGCTTTAGCTTGCGACTGCATGCACACATAGAAGCATATACCGTCTTGCAAAGCACACTGCACCATCATCTCAAACAGTCACTTTGTATCGCTGCTCCACTGGGACGATGACATCATGGTGTAGTGTCTGCTCCCTCTCCCTCACAAGTATTTGTTAAAGGGCAGAGACTTGCTACCACAAAATGGCACAAATTAAAAGCCTCCATATAGGCAGTGCACATACAATAGAACACAGGCAATTAAAGATGATTTCCTGCAAAGACAGAACACCAGTTCAAACAGAAACAGGGAGAACACAATGATATGGTCACCATATGGACAGAAACAGTAGTTGATAATAATAATAATAATAATAATAATAATAATAATAATGTGCTATGTGTTGTCATCATTGTATGTTCCCATACAAAGATGAAATTGGCTCTCTGCATTTAACCCATCGCACCTGGGATACAAAGCCCACCTGCTGTGAAGGTCACATGAATGCTTTTTCATCTCCACAGCTTTATAAAGCTGCACATTGAAATATACTGTATATACATGCTCACAAACAGCTTCATGCACAGCGCTGTGCAAAAGTCATGAGCCATATTTAATTTCTTCATACATTTTCTAATGTCTTCTAATCATTTAAGTTGGTACTGATTTCCTCAGGCTTTAAGGTCTTTCGAAGTTTTACTTTATAGTTGGGCTGCTTTTTCTTTCGTTTTCTGTCTAGTAACTGGCTATTTTCAAAAGAGTGTTTATTGTTGCTGGACGAATCATTCAGGCATGACAAGGCTACAGAAGTTCTAAACTTCTAAACTGTGTTGACACTGAAAGACAACTTGCAAGGTAATCCATTTTGAAGTTTGATTGTTGGACACTTACCCCAACCCATCAATGGGGCAGAGATAGGGTAGAGGCAGGGCGGTCGACCTGGGACCAGAAAGTCCCAGGCTCAATCCCCAGCCATTCTCACATCATGTGGTGTCTCTGAGCAAGACATCTAATCCCTAATTGCTTCCCAGGCGCTTACAGAGCTGCCCACTGCTCCACCTGGGTGTATCTCAGGGGTGATGGATTACATGCAGAGAACCAATTTTGCCATTGTATGGAAACATACAATGATGACAATACATAGAACTTTACTTTTACTGTTACTATCATCATGTAACAAACATACAAATGGTTACCATTTATGTATTTTATTGAAGTTATGAAAAAATGCTAAAGATGACACAATTTGACATTGAATGGACTTTTAGCACATAAATGGCATTTCTCATGTCCTCTGTCGGGTCTTTTTTCAAGACAATTCTCTTAGATATTTTCAGATACAAGTTCATCTGCTCTAGATAGATTTTAGGCCTGACACATTTTCTTTTGTCCTCTGTTCATTTACTTTCTGTTGTTTAAAGGACACACTGCACAATTGACTTTCTGGTTACTGGTACAAGGACCCGACAGCAAATGCATCCAAAGTTGGAGGAAAAACTTAAAACAACCTTCAGGAATCCTGATATTTTTGGGGAAACCACTTTAAAAGATTGCAAGAAAGTCTGGCTTTTTGAAAGGAAAATATAAAGAATTTTGGGATGCTTAGAAGCTTTTGCACAACACTGTGTTATCAGTAAGAAAGTGGTGGTGTTTGGTGAACATCAACTTCAACAATCATACAGATTACATACCCCAGTATTCCCAATAGTTCTTCCTCGGCTCTGCACATATTTCTAATTGTATTACATTTTGATTGACAGCGCACCATGTGGCTATTCATCAATGTCAGCTCATTTAGTGATAAATTACGCTTTTCAGAGACAGCGAGGCAGGATAGTATGAAGAAAGTGGAGCAAAGGAGGAGAGGAGAAAACTGAAAAGAAGTGGAGCTATGCCAAATTTTTTGTTTGTTTGCCCCAAATGATGCTTGACAGTTAAAAGGTATTTAGAGGACTTGTGATGAATAACTTTTTGTACCCATTCACTTAACCAGAGGGTATGTGTTCAGCTTCACTGGCATAAAATTAGCATACTGATGTTAGTTCAAATCAATAATGTTGTTCAAGGATTATGCCTGTATAATTACATGCAAAAGTCTTGAGTCAGTATTGGTAGTGCACTTGTTTTTAATTTGGTACGTCCTTCATAAGTACCTTTATGTGCTGCTGTACATAAGTATATTCCATACTTTTAAATATATTTGTGGTATCTTACAACCGTTTTACTGTACGACATCTGGACCAAATAATTTCCTACATGCAGGAGACCACATTTTTTAATCCTCTTCTCCTTTATTTGTAACTTTTCATGGTTATAGTTAGGAAAAAAAACATAAACTTGTGTCTAGTTTTAATCAAATTACAGATAATTTAAATTTCTTCAAACAGTATTTATGTTTATTAATTGAAATAGGGTAAAACTAGAATTAATCTTAAAGTTTCAGGACAAAAAATGTGAAAATTGAAATAAAAATTTAGCTGAAACACTGTAATGGTCTATTCTGATAATAACAACAACATCAACAATAATAATAGAATTAGATAATTTCTGCCCCCCTTATTAGGCATTTTATAGTTTGTATTTTACTTTTTATTTCTTTTTTCAATCCCAGTCCATACAAACGTACACATGCAGTTCCACACTAGCTCTGAAAAGTACCCAGTCTCATTTCCTCTCATTAGACAATTACATTCTTCTATCACTGATGTCAAAGCGCTTCTGGGAACGCCACCTTTATGGCTGCTATCTTAAGAACAAATCTTTCCCCCTCACATGCTTGATTTGCTGGTGTGTGTTTTATTGCTGTCCATTTCCACCCTCCCTATCTTCCTTTCCCTTTTTGAAGTGGTGCAGGAACACTGAGTGCTGGCACTGATCAAGTCACATCTTTTACCTTCAGGGATTTCCTATTAAAACATTCAGTGATGAACACTGGCCAACATGAACCAATACTTTCCGCTTTTTTGAGATTAGACCCACATCCACATAACAGTATAAACTTCTTATATCCTGAACGTTTTCATCATTACAGAACTTTCAGTCTTTGTTCACACATGCTGTTGTGGGCCAAACACACACCCCTAAGGAGAAACTTTCACTGGATTTATTAAGACATTTTGTTTCTCGTTTGAGGCAACGTTTGTATTTCTGCTCGCTCTAGTGGTCAGTCAGGAATTTAAATAGGGTTTCTTAGATTTTCATTTTAAAACATTCTCACCTCTGGCCTTTAGCAAACATGTTTTTGTATGATGGCCCATTGCAGCTAACAAGTCAACCAAATGTAGCTGTTTATCAGATTTAGGCAAATCATGGTAGTTTTTCAGAAAACACATGTCCACCTTATGTGCTTTTTACTACAAGGCAGAAAACAAAGTACAGCACACTGTTTGTTTGGTCATAAACCTAAATTTGACCTTTGACAGCTCAGATCATCACGTATTCTCTGCGTTTGAATCTGTCTGGTTTTCTAATAATAGTAATCATAATCATCAGGATCCCCCTCCCCCAATCTTTTACATCAGTGGTTCACAGTGAAGATCTAATTGCAACCTTCAATCAGGTGCATGCAAATTAAATCTGCAGGCTCATGCTATTAGCCCCCCATGAGTATGAGTGTTGTTCACTGCTTCACAGTTCATACAAACTGTTATTCATAAAAAAATAAAAAAAATAAAAACCTTACATGTTGGTGTTTTCCTGAAATGTGGTTTGAGATGTATCTTTTTATGATTACATTGATCTAAAAAAAAGGCTGAAAAAGTGGAAACTAAGTGATTTTTTTTTCTTTTAGATTCTCAAAAATTGCCTTTTCTTTAAATACGTTGGATCAGTCGTGTCAAACAGGTTCAAAACACCAAAGTCCATGCTCAACCCGACCGAACATTGTTGGATTTTATACCTGGATTATTGAGCATGGACTTTGGTGTTTTGAACCAGTTTGACTGCTTTAGAATAGCATGATTTGGATGCCTGGAATCGCATAAAAATGTGTAGGAAGCAAACCTAATTTTGGCTACTGTTGAATTCTCAACAACACTTTTGACAACTCCCCCCCCCCCCCCCCCCCAGAAATCTGTTTAGAGGATATTTCCATTGATATGCATGTTACAGCCAAATCTAATTTAGTGTGAAGCTTTTTTCTTTGAAGAAACAGCATTGTAGGAGATTTCAAGCAAACACAAGAAATATGAGGTTGTTTCAAGAAACAAATGAATTGCAATTTTTTTCCTACTGTCAATCCCCACAGAAGGTTCTAAAGCCTTGAATCCATGTGTAAACCCATACTGACGTTATAAGTTAGTTATTTCTAAATTGTGCCTTGCCCTGGTAAAAGTTTATATGCAAATACTTTTGAGGTGATTCATTTAACAAACAGAAACAATCACATAACTTACTTGGCAAATGTAATCAAAGCTCAAACTGGTAATTAAAAATAAAATAAAACAATAAAAAAAATACTTGACTTGCTTTGAAGTCTTCTCCTGCACTGTCTAAACATTTTGCTTTGCATTTGACCGACAAGAAAACCAGTTGTCTGGTGTATTTTGTCTTCTTCCTTTCCAGTTTTCTATTTCTGTTAAAGTGATTTATGGATTCTTGGTCATGTCGCTGACCAAGTTCCTTCCCTTTTTAAATAACTAAAGTATTTTTTAAACAAGATTCCCTTATCTAGAAGAGTGTTAATGGCTCCAACAGTCTTCTGTTTTTGTTTCAAAATGACTGAATTAATGTCTTCTTCACTTCAGAGGTCTACCTATAGATTCTTGTCTTCAATTTCTTGTCTATACTGCTGGAATGCGATGCACATTGCTGGATACATGTGCATGTCTTTGTGAACTTATAAACTTCAAAGGGTCACACAAAAGCAGTTTTCTCCATAAATATTCAACAACCTTTAAAACCTGTTACCTCCTTATAAATGAAAGTATGAGACTAAGCATTCAAAAAGTAAGGGGTTATCTACTTTTTGAAGAATATATTTATGTACATGAGCCTAACCAAAACCTTAAATGGTGCACCATGAACATTCAGGATCGCCAGATTTGCTTTAGGGTACCTTAGAATATTATTGTCACTCAGCACAGTCCACCACATTTCTCAGAAATGTAACCTGAAACTACATTATGCAAGGAGGAAGTCATATATTTATTAACTCTGTGCAGAAACATCCATGAGTTTTCCCCCCACCTACCCATCTAAGAAGGACATACAGTCAGTAGATCCACATTCCAGGGTCAGACAAGTCCACATCTCAGCTTCCTTTTAAGAAAAACAGACGCCAGGTTTTATGTGCCAAAGACGAGTCCGATTATTCAAGATGTTATCTGCAAATGTACCATAGATACAAAGATGGATTTAAAAAATTGGGGAACCGTATGGTACCATTAAAAAGGCTAATTTTCTGGCCAGTCTGTAATTACCAGGAAGAGACTCAAATTCCTCTAGCAAAACAGCAACAATAAACATCCTCCATTTTCCCCAAATATTTTAATACAATCATGGTAGTAAAATACTAATTAGCATCAAGTTATTGAATTGTTTACATTTTTGTAAACACTAGTATTGATTAACCCTAACTCTAACCCTAACCCTAACTCTAAATAATGGGGATAGAAATTACTTAATTTGTTTTGATTTGATTAAATAATATCATCCATCCATCCATCCATCCATCCATCCATCCATCCATCCATCCATCCATCCATCCATCCATCCATCCATCCATCCATCCATCCATCCATCCATCCATCCATCCATCCATCCATCCATCTTCTTTACCATGTTTTCCTTTCTGGGTTGAAGGGAAGCTGTTTTCTATCCCCAGCAGTAATTGTGTCAGAGTAAACCCTGGACAGCCTGCAAGCGCATCACTTGGACACATAGAGACAAATGAGACAAACAAACAAACAAACAAAGGTTGGGAGGTGATCCTGTCATATTTGCGTTGAAAGGCACCAACTCTAACCACGGCTTCACTTAAATAATCCTTGAAATAATATAAAAAAAAAAGTTAAAATCTTAGTGTTTGATGCATTTTAGAGAACATTTTAACTTACTGAAATCTTTTTTTTTTTTTAACTTGGATGTGAAATAGCAAATATTCACAGGCAATATTACTGGAGATGATTTTCACTATAATAACAGATTGTATGAATGTGTCACTTAATCTACTTAGCATATAGTTTCCTGTATGTATATCTGATTTGCGCTTCATTTAAAGTCTGCCTTTGAACAGCAAATAGGTGCTCTGGCATTTCTTTCAAACAGACGTTGTTCGCAATCGTCCATCATGAGTGAGTCATTTAACTCACCAAGTTGTTTTTCAAAGGGCACTCACATGCAATACATATGGTACTTTGTTGGATATCCAAATAAGAAAGAAGCTTATTTATTTTGAGGAAACCTGATACTGTTCTTCAGTATCATATAATCGGATCAAGATGAAAGATTGTTATACAAGAGAAGAAAGAGAAGGTTATGAAGCAATAGATATGTCATGTTAAGTGAGTCCAGCTTGTTTGACCTCAAAAGTTTGGCTTCTCTTTAAAAAGATGTGTGTAATTATAGTTGACCCAAACAGGCGTGTAATATTATTGATGGTGAAAACACAGGTTTCCCTATCGTTTTAAAATGGAAAAGTCTAAATGTTTGAGCTTTGCCAGCTTTATTGTTGGATTTTTTGACAATTCCTATAGTTTCACATGGTATGAAAATATGATGAAAACATTTGAGATTTGGCCGATGCAATGGGCCCCTGTTTTGTTTTTTTAATATATATATGTAAATATCTAACTACAAACAAACAAAAAAAAGTATTAAAAGTGTTCCTAAGAAAATTATTAAAACATGGCTTGGACTATATTTTTCACTACTATTGATTGTCCAACAGGCATAATTGGCACACACTCAAATAATGGACAACATAGATTTAAAGACTGTCAAATAAGATTGGTTTTAAACATAGCAGCAATATTAATTTGTAATGCTAAAATCTATAATCCTTGTTTGTTATAGCAGAGTTGTTATCACTGCTCGATTTGGTTTCTTGCCTTCTCGTTTCTTGTGAATTTTTTTTATATGATTTTCTCTGTCTTTAGTTTCCTACCACATTCCACCAACATATAAGAGCCAAGTCAGCATGGATAGATTTATGTATAACTGATGTTTTAGGAACATTATTATGTAGAAATAAAGTATTGTTGAAGATTAAATGAATCAAGTTTAATCTTCTAGTTGTAGATGAGTCCTTCTATTTTGGTGTGTGTGTGTAGGAGCGTTTATCAGAAGCTGTCACACTTCCTCCAGATCAATCTGTTTTGGGTCAGGGCTGATTGTGCAGTTGGTGGATATCAGTTGTCCATGTAGCAAGGCTTGACCTTACATATGCTCTCACCAGTTACTTGAGCTGCTGAGTCGCATGTGAAGCTTACTCACATACGTTGAGCTAAGCACTACTGAGCTTTGTCAGGTTACAATATGGCTGGAGAGAGTGCTGAGTTGCCACTGTCTTTTTTTTCATGAGATAAACTTCTATAGGATGTATCACATCAATATGTTACATAAGTGTTACAATACATACAGTCTGCAATAAAATAGTACTATTGCTACAGGGCAATTTGATACCATTAATCCATTTGTCCTCATTCGACACTAACTTTACTTCATGTCTTTTTATTTTTCAGTCATTTTCTTCAGTGACCATAACCTGTGCAAATGGGAAGTGGAATAAGCAGGTTTCATGTGAGCCTGTGGATTGTGGTCTGCCAGACAAATACCATGTTCACCCCGCTCATTTCAGCTTCCCAGAGGGTACGACTTATGGCAGTAGAAGCACGTTTCAGTGTCGAGAACCTGCGCAGCTCATAGGTGAGATGAACAGCACAACGTTAGCTCCTGCATGCAGAGAAACTTGTGAGCAAGCTGTCCTTAAATATATCGTCTTCTTTTTACAAGCTTAATTAACAAATATTTGGCAAACATATCACTATGATCATCATCTGTTATTTTTAATTTCTGATAAGTTTTAAATAAAAAAACGAAAAGAATATGTAGAAGTCACTCTAGCCATATTTTTCTATGAAATGTTCACATTCACAACAATTTGCATCACTGCCTTTTATTTATTTATTTTAGGAACAAACAACACTCTTACTTGCCTAGAAGATGGATTGTGGTCTTTCCCAGAGGCTCTCTGTGAGCTCCGCTGTGCAGCCCCTCCTCCTGTAGCCAACGCGGTGCTGCAAACAAAGCGTTGCAATGAGACGGGCCTAAAAGTTGGTACCCTCTGCAAGTACAAGTGCAAACCAGGATACCACGTTAAAAACAAGCCCAAAAGGTAAAACATGAAACAGTTGTTTGTGTAGCATTTATCAAGCTGAAAGTAAAGCCTCACGTAAAGTGATTGTCTTTCTTTTAGACGTGCATTTAAGCGCCAGTGCACAGAGGATGGCACCTGGCTGGAGGGGGCATGTGAGCCCGTGACCTGTGATCCTCCCCCGCTTATCTTCCATGGCTCTTACCACTGCACCGACGGCTTCCGCTTTGACAGCGTCTGCAGACTTAACTGCTCCAATTCCGCTGGTACTCCTGCGGTTGCCGCCACAAGAGACTCTGCCCTTACGGTGAGGCTGCTGCACTCTTCATGCAAGCAGGTCTGTCTATCTTTTTCCTCTCTTGCTTTTCCTTGTCAATTCTCTTTTTGGCATCTATTAAAAACGTAAGCATGCACTTTTTTGTGTTTTTTAATACTTTTTTTTTTTTTTTTTTTTTTACTATTTTCCTTAAAAATTTTAAAATCTTGTTTTAAATTTCTAGGCAGATTTTTGTAATGACATACTAGAAAAGTCTGTCTAAAAACCTGCACTATTGTGTGATATCTTATAATATTGATTGTTGAGAATGAAAGATGCATGGATATTTTGCAAATATGCTTTTATATAACACTTCCCACAGCTCTTGTGATACTTGTTTTCTCCTTGTCTTCCTTAGCTCTACTCAGTTTGATGCTGTGCTAATTAGATTGTTATTGATCTCCAGAATAGCTCTGCCACCCCAGACTTTTGAAATGTATACACCTTTTAATCTATTCTGCCTCCCAGGCATTGTTAGTTGGATTCCTGATAAAAATTGTATTGTATTTCTCCCTGTGCTATATGACGCCATCTCAATGTCCTTGGCTCCGCAGTGTTTGTGTACCAGTGTGTGAGAGTAAACTTTTCTGTCAATATGTGTGTTCGTTTCAGGGTACAGGATCCAATGTGATTCGCTGTAGGAAGGATGGCAACTGGACAGGGTCATTCCGTATCTGTCCAAACAGCAAAGGCCAATGTCCTTTACCTCAAAACCTGCATTATAGCCTGCAGTACTCATGCAAGCGAGGACACGGCATAGGTTTGTATGATGACATACTGATTTTTGCTCATGTCAGTAGGAGTCTTTATGTATTGAAAGTAGTAATATTAATAAAGGAAGACCCAAATATTAGTTTGAAGATTTTGGCATTTTGCATTGGACAGATATGAAAAAGCTAAATGGATTAACAGAACAGTGAATCAGGGAGTCTTCATTCTTTATGGCTTCAATTGCCAGCTTTTAGTCTTGCAGCTATGGTAGTTACAATATATGTCGATGACACCTAGCTTTTTGATGGGAAATATATCATGATGAAATTGCATTAAAATTATATACATATAATTTGAAACTAGTTTGTCCATACTTTGAATTGTTTGGTCTTACCTTCTCATGCATTCACACAGGTGAGGAGTGTGAGCTCAAGTGCAGAGAGGGCAATAATGAAGTGGTGATTCTTCCCAGCAACGTGACAGTGAAAAGTGTTCTTGAGGAGCACTGGAGGAGCCCACTGAAAGTCAAGGCAAGTTTCTGTGTGTATTTGTGTCCACGTCAAAGCACTGATAAACGCTCTTTGGAAAAGTCTGTGATCCACAACTCTCCTGTAAGGAATTTCACACGTAGTTCTAACATCCTTGCAAGATTAGCTACAGTACAAAATGCCGACTTGTCCTTGACCCAGTGCTATACAAATATTTGTCTGTGGTGCATGGCAACCATTAAAACAACTTACTATTTTCTTTGTGTGTAAAGATGCTGTTGCCTGTGGGTTCTCAATTCATCATTACTATCCTGAAATGCTTTGGCCTGTCATTAGTAATTAAGTATCATCTTAACTATATTTGAATCTATTTGTTCCGCTGCCAAGCATAACTCAAAGCAAAAACAACAAGTAAAAAAAAAAATCCTAATCTCCTACTACATAGAATTTCATGATGTATGCATTTCTTGAGACTCATGGACATCTCACTTCAGTAGTAACCAGTCTTATCAGAAACGTTCAGTTTTAAATGGCTCGGTAAATACATATATCACAGTTACTGACATTAATGTTTCAGGACCAGTTTCATAAACAGACAGGGGAATATAGTGGCTAGATAGTTTATTGGGGGATGATGATTCAACACAAAGCTGTACAAATAGTTCTTGAGGAGATGCTATTCACACACAAGTGGTGTTCTTTGATGTTTTCATGAAACTTGTTGGTATTGAGAAGTGTGTGTGTGTGATGTTGGTGGTCTCTTGAAAGTTTTAGACAATGTTTTCTCTTCAAATTCTACTTTTCTCATCTTTGTTGGCAAATAATAGTAATTTGATGTGGGTGTTTTGATGCCTTTCATGTACTGCCAAAGTCAAAACTCAAATTTAGGAATGAGATCACAGCCGGCTTTAACTATGTTCAAAATGCAACTTGGAAAACCAGTATGATCAGCTAACGGTTGTGCTCAGTGACCAGGATAACTACCATTAACAATACAACTTAACAACAATAGATTTCTCTACATTCTATGCATTTGAACACTGTAGCACCATGCTCGTTAGTAGTGGTTGAACAATACAGTGTTTGTGACTGGATTACCAAGATACAAGCTGAGTGCAATTTTTTTTTTCCATTAGGTATTACAACATTTAATGGGAAACTCAACCATATTGGAATTTAAAATCAAAGCTGGTCAGGGATCTTTAACTTTCTGAGTCAGATTTCCAACTTTGGCAGGTGTTCCAGTAGATTATTTGACTTGGAACTTGGACGTTCTGACTTCCGAGTACAACTTAAATGCACCATTATAATGCTTTTTAAGCAATATCTGGAAAAAAAAAAAAAAAAAAAAAGAAGTTCATCAAGCAAGTTTTGTAACCATAGAAGGGTAGATAATCCAAACCCAAATAAAGGAACAATTTGTACTGTTTTCTCTGCAATACCTTTTGTTTTTGTTTCAGATGTACAATAAGTCAATTTTTGTAAAGGTGTATGTTGGGAAGGAGGTCTGGGTTGGGTCACATGAACAAAAACAACCTATTTTTACAGATTTGTGTAACAGATATTATTTGCACTTGTGGGAATATGAAACCTGATATGTACCATATGGAAGCAGTGGATAGCATTACAAAGGTAGACTGTGAGTGTTTTGTGATTGTGTGTATTAGTTTTAAACGTAGTTCAGAAGTAAAAACATTAAAAATTTGTAGGTAGAACTCTACCTAAAATAAGCAGTTTTTCTAACAAGTACTTTTGTCTTCTGCTACAGCCCTAGACTGAACAAGTGATAATACAGTTGCGCGAAGTACATCATGTACCATCTTCAATTTGCACACACAGACACACAAGCAAAGCACAATTAAATACAACCAACAACACGACAGTTCTCTTACTCTCATGCCCAACTATGCAAAAAAAAAGAAAAAAAAAAGACCAAATGTTACAGATAACATTTTGTGAGTTTCACAAATTCCAATAAGGCTGTCATTTATGATAGTAAACCCTGAGATGATGTCTATTTAATTGTAGTACCAGGAATAAAAAAGGAATGCTGGAAATGAAACTTTAGTGTCAGGTGCCCATATGCTTGAAACTGAGCTTTCAGAGATGGAAATCAGATACGTTACATGCCCTTTGGGAGAGGTAACCACACAAGATAACAGAGCTAAAGATCTCAGAATAAATATGTATCAGACCTCATGTGTGTCAGCAAAATCTAGAGTTATTATGTCACAGAGATGGTTTACAGGTGACACAGATGGGGATGAGAAAGTCTGCTCTGCTGACTTTTTCTGACTAGATTAATTTAGCCTTCACCAGGTTTTGATGTGACATAGTGCCTTTTTCTAACACTAACAAAAACCTGTCAGTATGCCAACCACCACACAGGTATCACTTTGAATCTGAGTTGGACTGAAAAAACCAACAACTTTTAATCAATACAAAGCCAGATGATACATTAATCACATGACATTGAGACTGAATCTTTGCAGTCAGCTTAATTTACTTTGCAATATTTTCTTCCATCCATCCATCTCTATCTATCTATCTATCTATCTATCTATCTATCTATCTATCATCTATCTATCTATCTATCTATCTATCTATCTATCTATCTATCTATC